GCAAATAAAAATACAGGGTGTCAATATAAATTTGAATTTTAGATAAACAATGAATCAGTTTTTAGTATTAGTATGTTCCACATAATATTTGGGACATTCAAATTTAATTGGGGATTCTGTATTTTATCTGGGAATGTTAGTCTCAGGAAAACAGGATAGAGAACATGATAATGAACCCTGTCCCACTGCAAGGTTAAATTCCCTGCATGGGAAACAGTAGCACCACACCCCCCATGATCTTGGGGATCCAACAGCAGAGAGAACTGGGTCCTGATGAACATTTGGCATTCTGAGAGAAAACAGCTTTGCAAGGTGTCCTGTGACAATATGGAACAGTGACTAGAATAGAAACACTCGGTCACATCTAGATAGAGAGAGGGTCTGAGGTAGCCACCCCACCTTCCCCCACCACAGCATATACGTCTCTTTCTCTGTGGTTCTAAAGCCGAAGATTTCCTGTGACTGTGCAAGAGAGGCGCAGAGGTGAGCTGAGTGTGTGGAGTGGCAAGCCTGAAATGGTCTCATGGCTTGGGTCAAAACTAAACATTTTTCTGACATCACTGTACTACAAGTGTTTCAGAGTTTATGGAGCAGGGGTGGTTACTGACAGTGTGGCCAGTGTGGCCTAAGGCAACCAAAGACCACCAGGGATGGTCTAGTTCAGAAAAAGCCATGTGTATGGATGCCATTAACCAAAGACCAAAATCCTCTCCTCAGACTACTCCACAGTATGTTAGCCCTTCTACAATTAATTAATAGAAGCCCCATACCCCAAAAAGAACAGCTAAAGGCAAAGGGAAATATTATGAAGTGGCTCTCAAAAAGACACTGAGTTTAAACTGGAACTAGCTGAGTTTACTTTGAGTTTGTCTACATTTTATTTCCAGTTTAACTACTGGTAAATCAAGGTTCCTCATCATACATTGTTAAAGTTGATTACTTGAACCTTAAAGCAAAATTTAACATTTATTCTAACTAAGTTTCAATCCATTGCTCCATCATTTGACATCTTTTGAATAACAATTCTGCCATTTAATATTTTAGCTCTCTATCCAAGAGGAACTTGTTTAAACATTGGTTCTTTATCCAGACACAACCTTTATAAGAAGTTTCCTACTAAAGGACTTTTTCCTCCTATATCCTCCCTCTCCATCATCAAAAATAAATACACGTGCAAAAAACACAGTGAAATTTCTAAGTAGGCTTCTCTTCTTGTGGCAAGAACAGAAATGGAGAATAGAAAAGGAAGTATTTTTTACTAAGATATTTAAAGATTTTAAGATTACTAAAGAAATCAAATGAAAAATTTTCCTAATGCAGAACTACTGCCATCTAAAGGGCTCAGCGCAGTATTACAAATCAGCTTGTGGTTCTATTTAGCTAAATGTCTGATATTTAAATGCCACAGAGATTAATTTTTAGACATTTACATTTCCTCATTTTTTTCAAATTACTTAACAAACTTTCTTGTTACCCCTTAAACAAATCATATGGGACAGAGAAAACATGTAGATTAGATTAAGGTATATAAAAAGTTGAATATTACAATATTTAATTTGGACTTTTTAGAAAAGTACATTTTAAACTAATGAAAAAATAAATAGGCCATTCTCCTCCTTCCCCAAAATAGCAGTTTGGGAAATAATATTTACTATGTATATGTTAAAATACAGTATTATAAATTCACAAAATATTATTTAGTGAGTTATTATGGAGTCTAAAACTTAAGTTGTTGTATCACAAAGTTCTAATAACAAATTAAAGTCACACCTAAGGGAAAAGTTACTAAATTACAGAATTATGTTTATTAAAAGACAGGTCAGCTGAAATGATGAAATTTAATTCTAGAAAATTAGCAATATCATAACTTCCTATTTCTTAGTATTTCTAAATTATTATGTAACTCCCTAGTTACTAAAAAAAAAGTACATGGAATACTAAAAATAAAAAAGTAAAATTTCACAACATGGTATCAATATTACATGTAAGTAAAAGTACCCAAATTTAAAATGTCAACAAATAACATAAGCCAGAGATCCTTTAGGGACCTTTTAAAGGGCAAATATTATTTGCTACATTTAACACAAGATTAGAGTCAACTCTCATTATCGACTGTTTCAGTCTGCTCAGGTTGCAGTAACAGTATACCACATACTGGGTGGCTTAAACAAGAAAAAGTTATTACATTTCTTAAGGGCAGAAGTCCAAGATCAAGGTGCTGTCAGGGTTGGTTTCTGGTGAGGCCTCTCTCCTTGGCTAGCAGACAGCCATCTTCTTGTGGCTCTTTAAAGGGTCTTTTTTCTGTTCTTGCAATCTCTGGTATCTCTTCCTCTTCTTATAAGAACACTAATCCTATTGGATCACCGCCCCACCCTTACGAACTTATTTAACCTTAACCACCTCCTTAAAGGCCCTGTCTCCAAATATAGCCACATTGGGGGTTGGGATGGGGACACAATTCAGCCCCCAACACTGACATACTATACTTAACATGTTGCTCAAAGAAAAAGAAATTAATTGGTAGCTGAGTAGAAGATTGAACTTTTAGTTGATAGTAGAAGAGCTATCATATTTCAGTAAGTTTGATCAAAGTTTAATGTACAGGGAAAATGAAATATCTTTATTTGAAAATAAGCCTTATGAAACAATTAAAGTGAATATTTGTATTTAAGCTCAGGGTCAGGTAGGGAATGGGGGAAGAGAAGGGCCCCATCCCCTATGCTCTTAGAGGAATTAGACTGAGGTTTGAGGTAGTGGGCAAGAAAGGCGAGTGGGGCTCAAGAGGGAGTACAAGCCTCCAGGATGAAGGGATTCGATAACTTGCAAAATTCTCCCACAAAGTGTAAATCATGTGGACTCTCTAGCCCAAGGGCTCTTTGGGTAGGCTTGAGGAATATAGGAAATATAAATTGTTATTCAGCAAGTAAATAGGACTGTTAAAGTACATGCCCAACAGCCAACTTCAGTCCCAGGGCCACCTGGTTAGAGACCTAAGGGTCTTTTCCTCTTTGTTTAAGAGTGCCCCAGGTTCTTTCCCTCCCTTCACCCCAATGAATTTCCCATTTGCAGTTCAGAACATTCAAGAGGTTTAGTAAGGGGACTTTTTTGTAAAGTCATCAAAAAACAATACTTTTACACTCTTCCCTCTGGCAATGAATGTACCAGTACATTTATATTCCTAAGGGAAGTGCCTACTCCCTTAATAAAACAAGATATCCTACAGGGAGACTTGTGGCCTTCAATGTGTAGTCTACCTGGGAGTTTGACTTTGGTAGCATTCTACTGCAGGGGACAAAGAGGAATGCTAAGGCCTGTGTTTCACAGCCAACAAGCTATGGAACAATCCAGCTTTTCCTCTTTTGGTTCACAGACATTAAGGACATGGTGGTTGGGCTGCTATCGGTGAACAGCTCAAACTTCTTGAGTATTCTTTCCCGTTCTTATTCCAGGGAGATTTGTTTGGGACTTCTAATGGTTTTAATGGAATAAGTCATTCACTTATTCAAATGGGTCCACTAGGTATAGTTAAGTGTCCTCCTACCTGATTGAACTACCCATTGCACTAAATTAATCCCCTGATTGGTCTATTAGCCTCACAAGGATTAGTTTTTGTAAGGGTTAAGTGTAATTCTAAATCAATTACATTTTCATTATGTTATGTCTATCGATTTTTCCCATTGGACAAAGTGTTCCTTAAGTTTAAAACAGAAGCATTATAAAGATAATAGATTTGTATTTTCCCTTTTACATGAGGAACTGTATAGTAAAGATCTCAAAGTGGTAGTCCTTCACATCTAGGGAATCATGGAGAGAAGTAAATGCTCTAAAGCCGTGGTCCCCAATCCCTGGGCTGCAGCAGGTACAAGTCTGGTCCACAGCCTGTTAGGAACCTGGCAGTGCATCACTGCCTGAGCTCCGCCTCCCCCTCACCCCTCCGCCCCCACTGCCCTCCCTTCCCGCCCCCTGCCCTGTCCGTGGAAAAATTGTGTTTCACGAAACTACTTAGGAATTGAGCTGCACAGGAAGTGAGTAGCATGGGAGTGGGGGAGCCAGCGAAGCTTCATCTGAATTTATAGCCACTCCCCATCGCCGGCATCACCGCCTGAATTCCTTCCCCCCACCTGTGGAAAAATTGCCTTCCATGAAACCCGGTCCCTGGTGCCAAAAAGGGTAGGACCGCTGCTCTAAAGCATCCCTTGTACGGATTAACTTTCCTCCTTTGTATCTAAAATGATACTAGTTATACACAGTCCTTGAGAGAATTGAGCATATTGTCACTCAAATCATTTTGTAGTCTATAAACCTTAAAATCTGTTTGTAAGAATTCTTTCTTCCATAGTATGCTCTATATAGTCCCATGAAGTTTCTGATGTCCTTTCATAGAAAAATTCATTACAATAAAAAATAGGATCATCAAATAACCAATACTGGTTTCTTTAACCAGTGCCATTTTGCAAAATAGTCCTTCACGATGTCTAATAAATTTTCTAACGCACTCCAGGGGATGAAATGGTGAAAGGTCTCTTTTCCATTTTACCACTTAAGAAACTATGGAATATTAAGTTTACGGTTTAACCCACGGTCAGACATCATGTGGGCGAGAAGACTTACCATTATGTAGACTACTTGGGTCAGAGGGATATCAGTGGATGAAATTTTCTCCATAATCTCACACTATTCTGCACATAAGAGCAAAGGGTCATGTGTAACTTCATGATCTCCTGGTTCCTGAGGCGCTTTTGAAGGCCACGGAGAGTTCCAGTTAATTTTGTGGTAACCCCGGGCAAGGGCTACGCGCCAACAGGCCATAGCTGCGCAGCGGTAGCACGGCTCCCGGTCCTCTCCGGCCTTCGGGAGTCCCGGTCCGGGGAAGGAGCACCGGCGCGGGCGTCCGGGTGTGAGGCGCCCCCACTGCTGAAGACCCGATCCGGCGCGGCCCAGGACGCCGGCAGCGCGAGGGGCGGCGCTCGAGGGCGCGGGAAGCGCAAGAGGCAGCCGCGCCAGGTGCCTGGGCCCCGCAGCCCCGCCCCACGTCGCTCCGCCTCGTTGGCCGCGTCCGGCGGGGTCCTGTCCTGCTTCGTCCTGCCGGCGCGCTCGTCGCACCCTCCCCGGCTGAGGCGCTTCCCGTTTCTCCCAGCGCGGCCATGGCTCAGCATTTCTCCCTGGCCGCCTGCGACGTGGTGGGCTTCGACCTGGACCACACTCTGTGTCGCTACAACCTGCCCGAGAGCGCCCCGGTGAGTGGCGCGGGCTGCCCCGGGCGCACGGCGTGCAGCCTCCATGGCGGAGAGGCTCGAGTTTCCTCCTGGCTTGGGCGGCGGCGAGGGCCGCGGGGGACTTGCAGCCGCCGAGCCTTTCCGCGGAACTCGGCCTCCCACCGCGACGCTGGCGGAATTGTGCATCCCCCGCTTCTCGCCGGTGCGCGGGGGCCGGCTTATGGAGCCCAGCCTTTACTGAGGTTGAGAGAGGGGTACGGAAGAAAAGGAACGAAGGGGGCAAGTTGAGCAAGATCGGACTGGGGAGGAAACCGTTTCTAGAGCAGAGGACGGGCGGGACGAGGGGTACCGGGGGTGTTCTTGGAGATCCCCTGCCTTGGAACTTCTCTGCTGGTCTTTCTGGGCACTAGCTGAGAGTGGGGTACAGCCACCTGATTTGGGACTTGGATTTTCCATGGCTGCATTTTTTCATTTGCATGACCAAGTAACCACCGATCAGTGTTTAAACTGCAGTCAGGGAGACATGGTGTAGGGTACTGGAAGGAACACTAGTTGAAAAGTCATTTAATCTTAGCTCTGATTTTGCCTTTTAGCAAGAGAAGAAAACAGACATTTATTGTGCACCTACTACCTGCTCCGTGCACTTCAAATAAATTCTAATCCTAACAGCCTGTGAAGTTTGGGTTCCCACTGTGCACTGAGGTAGGGGGAAATAGGAGTATGTGTGATTCTAGACCTGTCCCCTCAGATTAATTGTCCTCCTTCCCCCATACGTTTGGTTTCACAAGGAAACTAATTGTGAAAAGTTAACAGAATTTTTTTAGCCCAAAATCTAAGCATCCAGACAGAAAAAGAGCTGGTTGTGAGCACAGTGGTCAAAGCGAGGACTTCTCAGCCAGATGCCTAGCTTAGGACCGCAGCCCCACAGTTACTAGCTCTGTGACTTTGGGCCAGTGCCCTAACCTATGTTTCTTCTCAGTTTTTGCTCTATAAAATAGGTTAATAATTGGATTTATCCCAAATGATTGCTACAAGGATTAAATGGGTAATAGATGTATAATGCTTAGAGTAGTACTTGGCAAATACAAGCACTTGCTTTTGTGGTTACCTCTCAAACGATTTCGAAACCTCACCGTTTATGGGCAGAACTCTGAGATTAGGGTGCAGACATCAGCCAGGCTGCTCCTCATTATGGTGATGTCAGTGCCCCAGTCAGTTCAGGTACACTTCAAAGGTCAAAAAAGAGTGGCCGCCTGAAGTACTTGTGTGTTTTCTATGAACAGATGCTAAAAGAAAAAAATGTACTTTTCCTGCTATTATACTTTTCTGCTTTCCTAACATACAGGTCTGCTATCCTTAGTCATACAGAAATCTTTCCTTTACTTTTTGATCCTTTGGCCACAACTTCCCCTAGGTCATTGATTCACATTTTCCATCCCTCCATGTCTTTCAAATCCCCTTCTGGCTCACATTTTTGTGCCCCTCCTCTCTAGTCACCTTCCTATGGAGGATGTATTGTTTAAACTCCTGTCATGTTAGAGCCAATTTTGTCCATGTGTGAGCATAACACTTCAGAATATAAGATCCTCAAAGACAAGGACTTTTTATTATAAGGCTGAAATATGAGTGATGTTTAAAGGTTGAAAACAGTTACCTAGAGAATTTTGGATCCTGTTTGGTGTGAAAATCTTTTTAAGTCCCACAGTGTACTGAGCACCACGCTAGAGTTGGAGATACTGAGACAAACAACACGAAGGCCTTCGAGCAGCCTCAAGCTGAAGGCAAAAGATGCCGAAGACTTAGTCTCAGGCCACTGTGGTGAAGAGTATTTCCTGGACCTTGTCTCCTCCTTCCTGGGAAGGGTCTCCTCCCTTCCACACAGTAAATTCATCCTGTCAGGTCTCATCTGAAATATCCTTCCCCTTCAGAAACCTTCCAGGGGCCCTTGGAGTTTGCCCCTCCATTCCGATCCCACCTCCAGTTTTCCATAAGACTAATTTCCCATAGCACTTACCACATGGTATTAACGTTTTTTGTTTACTTGTCAGACTTGTGCCTGGGGCCTAGAGCGATGGCTCCTTGACATCGGTATCTGTGACAGTTGATTGTGTGGTCTGTGTGCTGAGCTTAGTGTTGGGAATATACTGAGCCTAATCAGTAATTGTGGATGAACAAATTAAAAACTGAAAATGACACTGCCACGATTCTAATAAGCATTTTGCTCATGTGAACTGATTAAATCTTTATGACATCCTTGTGAGGTAGGTAATATCAGCACAGTCACTATTTGGAGATGTGAATGAGGAGGCACAGGAAGGTTAAATATCGGATCCAGGGCCACCCAGCACAGTAGTCTGGCAGTGGGTTTCTGCCCTCCCCACCATGCTGTCTGCTTGGTGCCATGAAGCACGGAGGCGAGGTGAGGCCTGGAGCTGGCAGGTTAGGCAGAGAAAGGAGCATTTAGGCAGAGGAAGTCCAGCGAGGGCTAGGACCTAGGGGTGAGTGGCAACACCATGAACTGCTGGCAAAAGCATTGTAGAAAACACAATGAACAATGATGGCTATGTTCTCCTGGTACCAGGAAGTTAACCTAACCTAAATGTTGAGTGAGTGGGAGAGTGGGGTCCCAGATATTGCATGGGACATGCATATACTAAAAATTTGTTTATTTGAAAATCAAATTTACTTAGGTATTCTCTATTTTATCTGGCAACCTTAAGTGGGAACGAAACAATTTGTGGGCTACAGATGGCCCACAGAGCACTAATTTGCAACCACTGTGGTGTATTGTTATCAGTCATGTGAGAGTGGGAAGAAACAAGTACAGCTGAGGCTGGGAGAGGAGGTCCTGGAGGACCCTGTTCTATGAAAGCTTCAGGGGGCACTTAACAGAATTTCAGGACGAGCTGCAAGAAGACTTGGGCCTAGGCCAGGGGTTTCAAAGTACAAACTCCCTGCTTTTCTCGGCTTCTCCCTGTGCATTGGCCCCCCTCTCCTATTGCAGAAATGTTTCCTCTGCGAGTTAAGGAACACAGCTGTGGATGCCCCTGATGCAAAAGGCTCCTTTTTCCCAGGAAGGAGTCCGACCCATTGAAATCACATACCCATATCTTAGACTAATGTTGTTGCCAAGGGATGAGAAACTCCAGTTGTCTGAGACTGAATAAAGTGTGTTGACCAGAGGCAAGTCTAATTGTGTATACGATAGACGGCTCTTAGGGGCTCGTGAAAGCGGATTTTTAAATATGCAGGAATTGTGTAAGCAGCTGAACTAATGGTAGCATGAAACAGGCTGTGTTGGGAGTATTTATACCACAGAAATAGGTACATGCTACAAGTCTAGGTGGTGTTTTTGTTTTTTAACCACATGTCATAATAATAGCAAATACTTAAATTGGATTTACTTGTATGCCAGGCACTGCTGTAAGCACTTCTGTTAACCCCATGCACTGGTTCTTCCAGGTAGCATCATGATGTATGCTTTTTATTGTCTGTAGTACTTTGTACCTCAGAGTGACTAAGTAAATTTTTTATTGGTTTTTTTTTTAATGATTTAATGAAAATCCATAAAACATGTGAGTCAGTGGCTTTTAGTCCTCTTTGGACTTCAGGAATCCTACAGGTGGCCTACCCAGGCTCCTCCTTACCCTGTAGGCCTGGAATCTTTAGGTGATTTTAAGATGTGTCATCTGTGGTTCTGAACCACCACCGGGGTTGAGAACTGTTCATATATAGTGTTGTCGTAATATGGGCCTATTAACAGTTGACCCGGATTAGGGTCACATTGCATTGGATGGGAGTACATGTACAGTGATTTTAATTAACTTTATGAAAGAGCAGCTCTATTTGACAAGGAGCCTTTGCTTCTCCACACTCATCTCCTGACACTCAGACCCCAGCCCCCCAACTCCAGCTGTGTGCAGGCCCCTCAGTTTCTGGACCTTCGTTGTCTACCCCCGCCCCCATCCCCTTCGGTTCACTCAGCTGACTGCTACATCTAGGTATCAGTGTCAACCTCCCTTCCCCAGGGACACCTTCCCCCACTCTATGATGCCCTCTTCCCCCGAGTAGCATACCACGTTATCAAAACCTGTCACGAGTTAACATCTACAGAAGAAGAGTCAGATTGTTCAGTGTGTCCTTTTGGACACTGCTCAGACCTACCCCAGACCACTACTCTGCCTCAGGTTCAAGTGTGTCTGACAGTGGCCTAAGAACACTCCTCTGAGGTATAGTAAGGTAGGGCCAATGTGGACCTTCATCTACCTTCTGTCCACTTTTTGTTCAGTCTACACAGTTCTTTTAAAATTGAGCCACCTCTTTAAAAAAAAGAAAAGGCCTGATATTTCACTTAAGAACCTAGAATTTTTGTCATCGAGAAATAGATCTGTCAACAATCAGCAGAGCCTCTATCATTCCTTGTACTTGCTTTCAAAGGCTCCTTTGTCCTCTTTCCTCTGTTGCTTTGGTGGAGAAATAAGAGATACTTTCTATGTGTGATAGAGGCTTCATGATTGTTGCTCCTTTAGATCACCTGCCTGGTCCCCACGTGTATTGCACTTCGAGACTGCCCTGAGATGGGGCCTTTCCGGCAAGGATGGACCAAGGACTGATGTAATGATAGAATGGTCAACATGTTTATTGTCTTAGTGACATGTTAAATAAGTTTACAAAGCTTTGTCATGTCTTAAATTATGATCTGCAGCACATTAATATTTGGGAGTAGGATTAATAATTGTCTTTGGTTGTATAATTTTGGATGGGACAGCTGCCTGCGGCTCACAGGGGTTCATAAGTTTCTTGTGAAGGGGGATTAAACTGCACAACTGCACAATTACAGATATTTCCCTCCTCCTACCTGCCCCACCAGTGATTCCATTAGGTTTTCAGGTCTGTGAAATTAAGAATGAGTAGTGAGTTTTATATTTAATCTTTTTTTTTTCCTCTTGTTTTCAGCTCATTTATAATAGTTTTGCTCAGTTCCTAGTTAAGGAGAGAGGGTATGATAAGGAATTGCTCAGTGTGACCCCAGAGGATTGGGATTTCTGGTAAGTTCTTTTTTTTTTTTTTAATGATCTTCACATTCTCTGTGCTTCTTAATTGTTGCTGATAAAATTTTAATGCTTCCTCTTCTATGAAGGTAGAACATGAAATGTGAAATTGAGTCAAAGGACAAAATGCCTTCTATATTAAAAGTTTTGTGTTTAGTGAATTAAAAATGTGCTTACTTTAAACAAGTTTAGACCTTGCTTAATGTGAAAATAAGCTAAGAGTTTATGTGACTAGGATATTTTGGTATGATTTAACTTTGTCATAATTAAGAGTTTCAGAGGTTAAGAACTGTCTCTACAATTTATATCTTTGAGGGAAAAAAGTTTGTTTTAGTACTCTTCATATTAAGAACTGTAAGAGAAAAGGAGGAATCATCATGTTTTATGTAAGTGTCTGAATTAGGACACTTTATTTTCTGTAATTTGGATATACATTCTTGTCTAAGACTCTAACTGTATACTCCCTTCCTGGTTTAGGATTCTCAACTTCCCAAGGCTTCCTTTGTCTTTCTTCTTCATTTAAACAACAAAAACAAACAAAAATCCTAAGCCATTAAATTGTTCAGTTTAAAATTAATGATAATCCTAAAACGCATGAAAAATACATGCATAATGTTCATCTGGTATATATTCTTCCAATACTTGGTTAGTCTTTTTTGATGTATCCCTTTTATAAATGGAAAAAACAGAAACATTTTACTGTATGAACCTACTGACTCTGGAAATTATATGGTGAGCACAAGTAAATAATGCTTCTAAAGTACCCTGTCATTTTTTAAAATTCCCTTAGTATTTGGTGGCCATTATGCCTCTTTGCTTTTATTATTCATAGTAATAAATCTATACACACTTTTCTCCCCAAATCCCACAAGTCTTTTCAGGGGAGAATCTACAACTTAGTATTTGACTTTATTTTAGTGGTTTTCAATAATATGCCTTGCCCAGAGGGCAAGTTCTTGTAACCTGACCTAAACTGAGGAAAATTCTGAAGAGTATAGAAAAGACTCTGGCTAAAAGCTTAACTTATAGACTATAAGCGAGAGAGTGTGTGTATGTGTATCTTATTTAATGGAAAACATTTGCACATTTTAAAAGAGGCATGGCTTGATGTTCAGGTTTTTTTTTTCTCTCTTTTGAGATTCATCTTTTTGAAAGCCTAAAGATTTTACAAACTAAGCAGGCTACCCTTTGTTTGCCTACATAATGATTTTCCATATGTGCCTGCTCTGTGGTAGATATTTACTTTTACAATTCTTGGATATTCTTATTTATGTGGTTAACATATCATTCAGCTAGGTGGGAGAATCCTTTTTTAGCATTGTGACTTTTTAAAAATTTAGACTATTATTTCTTAGGTTGGCTAAAGATATGAACTGATCAATAATCAAACTTTTCTATTTTAGTTGCAAGGGTTTAGCATTGGATCTGGAAGATGGGAACTTCATTAAACTTGCAGATAATGGCACTGTGCTCAGGTAATAAAATTTAGTTGTGAAATCAAAACTTTACTTCCTCCAGGATACTTTATTACTGGGTAGCATATGACCCTTAAGGTGTGGGTTAAATAAGATTATTATCTTAGTCAATAAGATGACAGATTATCTGTCTAATTACATGTCTTCGTGTGAATTGTGTAAGCTATTAAATACAAGTCTGTGAGCATTAGATTTACAGGTCTAGTTCCTTTAAGTTTAGCTCATTAGAAATATTTGCAGGAAATACAACAGAAAGTTAATAACTTCTATTCGTTGACCACCCCTTACTGCAAAAGAGCCTGGGAAGTATATTGTTAGCTGGGTATGTAGGTGCCTAGAATAAAATCAGGGTTTTTTTTATTAAGGAGGAAGGAGAGAATGGATATTGTGTAGGGTTTGGTCATTTATGCATACCTCCCATTCTTCTTCCATTAATCCAAATTTTCCCCCATCATGCAGAGCTTATGTTGTGTCTTAGCGCCTTCTGGACTGTTCCAACCCTCATCAATCTCTCCCACACTGAGTGCTGACTTTCTTTCTTTCCTTTCTCTCTGAGTGGGCCCAACCTTCCAAGTGTTGGGAAGGGTTTGACATGGAATCCAGAAGCAGCTGATATCGCTGCTTTGAGCCTTTCAGAGGGTACCAGGGAGTGAGCATCTGTTTTTTCCTCAGTACTAATAGTATCAGCAAGTCAACATAGCCATGAAGCTCTGCTGTTTATTATTAAATATTTATACAAACACAATCAGAGTCAAAGGAGAAGACTCTCAGCACAGGTTGCTTCTTATATACGTTCTCTCTTTTCATACTTCATTGTTTTTACACGAAGTAAACCCCCTTCACACTCTCCTCCAGACCTTCCCCTAAGGTGCATCTGACTAGAGCAGGTCCCACTTTTGATTATTTTATAATTTATTTGAATGTTTTTTTCCTTCGGCAACTAGAGATAGAGTATGTATGTACGTATATGTACACATACAATGCAGCTTTGACTGTGGCCTTTAACTCTACCATCAGATTCTTACAGTGTACTTGGCTGTCATCAACTATGGTTAAAAGAATGAAAAGCATTGCACAATTTTGTTTCTTTCTCTCATTGTTCTGTCTGTCCACTCCCAACATCCCTCCCTGAAGGTCTGTCCTCCACCCTCCACCCTCCATTCAAGCTCTGGCTAACCTGCAGTTTCTCCTGAATTTTAATAGTTTACCTCCTTGATGCCTTCTTTCAACCAGTTCAGTAGATTCCTTGCCTGATTGTATTTGCCATTCAGGATTTCTTCATCTTTAAATATAGCTTTCTAAAATGTTGACATCTTTATAAAAAGGAGCCTATTCATGCTTTTCCCTCCACTTGCTCTTCTTATTTCATTTCTTTTTTCCTTCATATTATTTTGGTACAACATAATACCAAGAGAATAAAAGTGATACTCCCTATAATTATAATTTTTCATAATAAACTGTATAAAGTGTCAACTACAGTAGTCTCCCCTTATCCGAGGGGGATATGTGTGAGGATCCTCAGTGGATGCCTGAAACTGTCATACATACATTCCTATGATAAAGTGTAATTTATAAATTAGGTACAGTAAGAGGTTAAGAGTAACTAGTAACAAAATAGAACAATCATAACAATACTCAGAGTGATGCACAATTTAAAACTTATGAATTGTTTATTTCTGGAATTTTCCATTTAATATTTTTGGGCCACGATTGGCCATGGATAAGTGAAACTGCAGAAAGGAAAACCACAAAAAAGGAGGGATTGCTGTATTTCTTTCTCTACAGGGTAAGATTCTCTTAACCAGGCCTAACTGATGCAAAAGCAATATTTTGAACACAAACAAAAAAAATAGCTAATTTTTCATCATGTTGTTCTTTTTTGACATATTCCTCTTATGATTCCCCACGTGGTTTTAGTTATGCTGTGTCCTTGAGTGGACAGGAGGCTCCTCATTTTGTCTTTGCAGTTTTGTGTGCTCATAGTCATCTGCTCTCAAGTGCCAGGTGCCTTTCACGCCTCCTGTGAGCCTGGTGTAGCTCACACTCTAACTCTGGTACCTGCCGCTCTTTCTCTAATGTGCCCAGAACCAGCTTCCCACCCCACGTGCTTGTTTTCTGTTTGTTCCAGTTATGTTAATCTTATCTGTATGGTTAAACAAATGATCTAGGAAACCCTAAAAACTCCTCCAGAAGACTCCTAGAATTAATAAATAAATTCAGTAAAGTCTCAGTAAAATAAATGTGCACAATTCAGTAGCATTTCTATATGCTATTAACAGTCAAGCTGAGAATCAAGTCGAGAACTCCATACCATTAACAATAGCTGCCAAAAAAAAAAAATACCTGGGAAAATACTTAACCAAGGAGTTGAAAGATCTCTACAAGGAGAACTACAAAACACTAATGAAAGAAATTGTAGATGACACAAACAAATGGAAAAACATCCCATAATCATGGATTGGAAGAATCAATATTGCTAAAATGTCCATACTGCCCAAAGTGATTTACAGACTTCATGCAATTCACATCAAAATACCAGCATCATTTTTCACAGAATTAGTAAAACAATCCTAAATTTCATAGGGAATCAAAAAGGAGCCCAAATAGCCAAAGCAATCCTAAGCAAAAAGAACAAATCTGGAGGTATCACATTACCTGACTTCAAATTATACTGCAAGGCTGTAACTAAAGCAGCATGGTACTGGTATAAAAGTAGACACATAGATCAATGAAACAGAATAGAGAACCCCAAAATAAAATCATATACCTACAACCAACTGATCTTTGACAAAGCAGATGAAAACATACAATGGGGAAAGGATGCCCAGTTCAGTAAATGGTGCTAGGAAAATTGCTGCATGCAGAAGAATGAAACTGGATTCTCTGTCTCACCATACACAGATATTAACTCAAGATGGATTAAAGACTTAAACGTAAGACCTGATACCATAAAAATTCTAGAAGAAAACTTAAGAAAGACTCTTCTGGACATTGGCCTAGGCAAAGAATTTATGATTAAGACTCCAAAAGCAAATACAACAAAATAATAAATGAGACTTACTTAAACTAAAAAGTTTCTGCACAGCAAAATAAATAATCAAATAGGTAACCTACAGAATGGGAGAAAATGTTTGCAAACTATACATCTGACAAAGGACTAATATCTAGAATCTACAAGGAACTCAAATCAGCAAGAAAAAAAACAACTCTATCAAAAAGTAGGCAAAAGGGTAGGTGCAGTGATTCACGCCTATAATCCTAACCCTCTGGGAGGCCAAGGCAAGAGAATCCCTTGAGCTCAGGAGTTCAAGACCAGCCTGAGCAAGAGCAAGACCCCATCTCTACTAAAAATAGAAAAAATTAGCCGAGTGTGGTGGTGCATGCGTGTAGTCCCAGCTACTTGGGAGGCTAAGGCAGGAGGATTGCTTGAGCCCAGGAGTTTGAGGTTGCTGTGACCGAGGCTGACACCACAGTACTCTAGCCCAGGCAACAGAGCAAGACTGTGTCTCAAAGAAAAAAAAAGGTGGACAAAAGACATGAACAGATATTTTTTAAAAGAAGATAGACAAATGGCCAAAAAACATGAAAATGCTCAACGTACCAATCATTAGGGTAAATGCAACTTAAAAACACAAGGAAATGCTACCTTACCCCTATCAGAATGGCCATTATTAAAAAGTCAAAAAAACAATAGATGTCAGCACAGCTGGGGTGAAAAAGGAAGGCTTATACAAGCATTATATTCCCTGTCAGTGGGGCGGTAATTAGTACAACCTCTATGGAAAACTGTGGAGATTCCTCAGAGAACTAAAAGACCTACCATTTGCTCCAGCAATCCCACTTCTAGGGACCTACCCAAAGGAAAAGAAGTCATTATGTCAAAAAGACACAAGCACTTTTATGTTTATCACAGCACAATTCACAATGGCAAATATACGGAATCAACCTAAGTGCCCATCAGCTGATGAGTGGATAAAGAAAATGTGGTATACATATATATACCATGGAATACAGCCATAAAAAGAATGAAACAATGTCTTTTGCAACAACTTGAATGGAACTGGAGGCCATCATCCTCAGTGAAGTATCTCAGGAACAGAAAAACAAATACTGCATATACTCACTTATAAGCGGGAGCTAAAGATGGGTATACATGGTCACACAGAGTGGTATAATGGCCTTCAGAGACTCAGAAAAGGGGAGGGTGAGACGGGGGCTAAGTGATCAAAAATTAACTGTTGGGTACAATGTACACTATTTGAGTAGTGGATACACTAAAACCCCTAGATCCATCACTATACATTTCATCCAAGTAACAAAAAGCTACTTGTATCCCCTAAATCTATTGAAATAAAATTTTTAAAAAAATGACAACTTCTCTAGGAAATGGTGGTGTCTCATCCAGTGTGAACCTCTGAGTCAGCATCTTCTAATCACTTGCTAGTTACTGGATTAAAGGGGAAAAAAGCTAGAACTGTCCATAGAAATGCCTTATAGAATGAATCCTGAACAGGGAAGTCACCCAATTGAAAAGAGAAAAAAACAATCTGTTAGTTCCAGCAGGAGCAGAGATCAACAGTCACAATGCTAGAGGAAAGGGCATTCAAGGGAACCATTACTGAGCAATGTGCATCATCTCCCAAAACTAGGGCAAGCCACGGCACCAAGATGATGACCCCAGAGGCGCTGGCAGAGGCGTATGGCAAGGAGGAGTGGAAGCACTTCGTATCGGACACGGGAATGACTTGCCGCTCAGGTATGGCTCCAGTGGGGCAGCTCCCCTTTTGTTTTGGACCCTGAACCTTCAATGTGAAGACACAAAGAAGACCCTCCTTTCCCCCTGCTGGGCAGAGGCACAAGGGAGCAGCCTTGGCCTTACAGCAGTGGGATGTATTTTTTCCAGATGTGTCTGATTTCTGTTTGGCAGCTGGTTCAAAATGCTGTTAGCATTTTCACACTGCTTTATTTAAGGTTTTGTTGATGCTCCTTGTACTCGTTCTGGAGTGGAGATTAGCACTTAGGAATAGCACATTCCTTAGCTGTCCTGTGTTCTTTATCAGTTTGTTACGTACTCAGAACTTTTCTTTCTTCACCTCCCGTTTGTCTCCATATTCATGTTACAGACCACTCCTGTTTTTTAGAATTGTCCTGCTTGTAGAAATGAATAGAAGGAGAGTAATTGTCCCCAACCCTTGTCCCCCAGAATCCCCTTTCCCCAAAGCTTATTTTTTAAAGCTATACAAAAGGGATCATGTATTTACTTTGCTCTTTTTAATTTACATCTTGGAGAGTCTGTCATCTGCACATACGCTGGTGCACCTCATTCTTTTAAATGCTGGCCTGCTCTGCTATCCAGGGCTTGTATTGTGATTTATTTAATTAGTCCCATAGCAGTGGGCATTTATGTTGTATCTGCTGTTTTATCTTTACAAACAAGCCTGAGGCAATGTTTTCATAAATGTATATTTTGCACTTTTATAAATATATCCAGAATTTATTCTAGGAATTTATTCCTAGAAGTACACTTGCTCGAAAGATCCACAGGTTTAAAATTTTGTTATATGTCACCAACTAAGGCCTTTATGTTCAGGAACTCCGATTGCTTCTCTATGTGTAGCCTTCTCCTACATTAAGTGTATTAATCCTCAGAGTTAGGTACAGAGTCATAAAGTACGTTCCCTGCCAATACATTTAGGAAATTTAAAGCATTGATGGATATAGAAATTTTTAAGGACAACTTATTTGATGATCCCTGTTCAGTTTGTTGACCTGCGCATGAGGTTGCTTTTCCTTGCCAGCCGATCTCTAGAGAGCAAGTCCTTTTGAGCTTTTTTTCCCCAAATGGTGGATTATACAGAAATAGATCAGTACAGTGGAAGTCACAAGGGGCTTGGTGCCAGATGGTCCTAGATCATATTGGCTCTGTTACTTGCAGGATAAAGTGACTCTGGTCAATTACTAAGCTACTTTTAGCATCCATTTTCTTACCTTTAAGTGGAGATAATATCACTTATCTGCAGAAGTGAGAACCTTTGCGAACATAAATTGTTCTCTTCCCCTCAGTCATTCACGTGCCTTTGTTGCATTTCCACTAAGACAAAGGGAGTGGGTTGGCAGTGGGTTCTTGGGGAACAGTTTTTCTGTGCATAAAGTTTAATGTTTAAAGGACTTGGTCTTGATTGAGAGGCTTGTATTATTGAACTGAGTTCACTCATCACTTCATTCACAATGAGCTGTCTGCTCTATGAGGAGGTGGAGGTTGACGCTTTCGTGTGGTACAGTCTCAGAGTTTGGGTGTTGGGAGAGGCATTGAGAGCAGCCTGGCCCAGTTAACAGCTCAAGGCTGAACAAGCCTCCTTGTGTCCACACTGTGGACATTCAGCCAAAGTTCGATGGTTGAGTGATGTCAGCCTCTTGCCTTGTGGGCAGGAACCAGTGAGTCCTTCTCATTAAGCCCCCCGAGTTATTAGGTTAGACCCTAACCATGACTCATAATCAGTGTTTTGATTCTTGGATTGAATTTCATCTCTTAAGGCCCACAAAGAAAGGAGAATGGGAGGAGAAAAGCAAGGGTATGTCACTGGCAATGATGAGATGCTTCCTGCTCCAACAGTGCCTAGGACAGCTGGCTATCAGGTTCAGGCAGGTCACTTTGATGTTAGGCCAAGAGGTAAGAGAAAGCACAGATTAATGAACCTTGAGAAGCTTTGCCCACCGTCCTAGGTCTTGGGAGTCCTAGAGTATCGTGTGGTCTTACAGCATAGCAAAGCGTAGGCAGACATGCACATTGGATATCATCTCTCTTTTCTTCCAGATCACTTGTTATTCACACCGGCAAAGCCACCCTAACCATTCTTAGGAATGAAAAACAGTCTGAGATGTTCCCCCAAAAATTTAAGCTATGAAAGAATGAAAAACAGGAAGACCGTGTCAACCAAAATATTTTTAACTGAGAGAAAAGGACACAAACTGACACAGCCATATTATGAATTAACTTTGACTTATTTTTTATACATTTTTAATAAATTGACAGGACAAGGCAAGAGGCACTAAATGACATTCAGAGAGATAGACCCCTGGCTTCTGCATACGGTTTTCTCCTGATTTACTTGTGATACTCCTTCATTCCAAAGTAATCCATTTGATTGTTGGATAATTCATTCGTTCATTCAACAAACATTTGCGTGCTTACAATATGCTGGACACTGTGCCTAGTGGACCCTTAAAGAACAAGACAGATTATTCCTTAACCTCAGACCCATAGCTTATAAATGAGAGGAAGGAGGACTCAAATCAGGCAATTATAATAATGTGCTCAAGAGTAGTTGTGACTATTTGAAAAGTACTTTCTTATTATTAAACTAAAATCTGGCTCAACTTGTCAGTTCTGTTTGATTCTTCTTTGTACCAAGAGTTAGTCTAACTCTGTGAAGTTGGGTTCCCCCAAAAGTGGAGTGGTTACTTTTGATCCCGGTAGACAGGAGTGAGGAAATGAGAGGGAGAAACACAGAAGGAAGGAAGGAGCAGTGGGTGCTGGATTCTACTGAGACTTCTGTGAAGAAGCACAGAGACCTCCCAGAGTTGTTGATCCAGGGGGCAGGAAGCTGGGACATTCCTTTACTGGCTCCTGATCTGTTGGTTGAGGTCATTCTACCCCAAGATCATACAGAATAAATCAAATCCTTCTCCTCTGTGAGATCCTGGAATGTACCTGTCCTGTACTCTTGGGTTTTTCTAAGATAAGCACACCATGTCCTCACATGGCATGGTTTTTATTCCTCTCATCACCCCATTGTTCTCATATTGTATTGAAATTTATCTCAAGTGGCATAAAAACTGAATGTCGTACTCTAGGTGGGGCCAACCAGCATGTTATGAAAAGGCACTATTGTGTGGAGCACTTCATGGTACTCCAGGGTTAGGCTATTTGATTGTTTTGAAATGCAGTGACTTTGATAACATAAATTTTGGCTTTTTCATACTCCATATTATAGGTGGGGTATATTCTGGTTTTAGTTTTTATTTTTTTTAAAGACAACTCAAATATTTTTTAATAAAATGCTTAGCTTCCAGATATCATATTTTAACTAAATTTCTCGTTATAATAATATGCTCAAAGGTTTAAACCTTCCTTATAAGATGATGTGCCATTTTGAATTGAAATGGAGGCTTCTTCAGATAATTAAACCAAAATCTAGTGTCTTTTCAGCCATGTTTCTCTGTGTTTCACGTACATGAGGCATTATTTTGTTAGTTTAAAATTACTATTTTGTTCTTTTTTAGGAAAGTACTATTTTTATGATAACTATTTTGACCTGCCAGGGGCTCTTCTATGTGCCAGGGTGGTGGACTTACTAACAAAGGTGAGTAGGGACTCATTTTTTAAAAACTGTGATATGTACTTAGTCATAAATCATAGGACTTAATTATACATAACTTTCAAGTTGAGATTTTAATTTCTTCTTTGTGGTTTCAGAGGTGACTGGGAAGGAAAAACATGGTGACTTTGGTCAAAATATTTTTGGAAAATTAAATAGTAGTGACCGTTTTTTTCCTCAGGGAAAATATGCCTATTTTCCAGCAGGGGGTGCAAAAGTCTAGAAAAAGAAAATACATACCAGAACTTGAATCTGGAAAAAATATTTTCTTTAGCAGAGTAAATAAATAGTTTAACTAGCAGAATTAAAAAGAGTAAACATAATTAAGAAAATTCTATGTGTCTGTAAGCATTTTAAATAATATAAAAACAAAAAAATGAGATGAAATTTTTAAATTCGTTATTTTGAGCATAGTTTAATGCATATAGATTTTTCCTTTGTACTGTGTACCAAGATTAAATAGATCTCTGGTTAATCAGTTTATACTTAAAACTTAGGACCTATGAACATAAATGGGTTTACATGTCACAATCGCTTTCCTTTTTGCATATGCTGTCTTTTAAAATCACTATTATGTTTATAGTAGAGCACGGGTAATGATTTATTTTTGAATCAGAATTACATTCATGTGTTTGTGAAAAGTTTCTGGGGTGCAGTAATTTTGGTATGTTTGTAGAAGTCTTTATTAACACAAGAGTGAGTCAGTTTCTCAATTTTTAGTTACTATAAGCAAAATATATCAGTGTTTAAATATTTCATAGTTTGTATAATTAGGTACAAATGTCTAGCAGTCTGTCTTTATTTAGATAGAAGGACACTGGTTAATGTCCAAGGAAACAAATGGTTATAAGGTTTTATGTTTTAATGTAATGTTTATTTGCTTTCTGGTTTAAAAAAATATTAATAAAAATGATTTGCAATTTATATTTGCAGCCTCATTCATCTCACCTATAGAGACTTGTTGCTCTTTAAGATTGAAATTCAGGTTAAGTGTACACTAAATTCTAAAGTGACAGCTTTTGGGGCTTTAGGACTTCAGGCTCCTTAGCCCCATTGATGCCCTAGTATGTTAAGTAACACATTGTGACATTCCAGAAATTATGCAACATTGTAAGTTTACTTATGTATTCAAAATATTCTATAATTTTTAGACTTCGGAAATTTTTATTTTATTTGGTCTATATGAGCTATATTAATATTTAGTGATATCTGTGTGTATATATAGTAGTGATTTTCTGGAAGATTTCTCTTTTTAAATTCACATTTAGGAAAATGACAACTTTATTAATCTATGATGTTTTCTAAAACATAAATTCCTACCTTAGAATATTGTAATACAGATGCTTCTTTACTTATGGTGGGGTTACCTCCCAATAAACCCATTGTAAGTTAAAAAATCTTTAAGTTGGAAATGCATTTAATACACCTAACCCACCAAACATCATAGGTTAGCCTAACCTTCCATAAATGTTCTCAGAACACTCACACATTAGCCTGTAGTTGGGCAAAATCATCTAACACAAAGTCTATTTTATGATAAAGTATTGAATATCTCATGTAATTTATTGAATCCTGTGCTGAAAATGAAAAACAGAATGGTTATATGTATACTCAAAGTATGGTTTCCACTGAATCTATCGCTTTCACACCGTCATAAAGTTGAAAAATCTTCAGTGAACCGTCTTAAGTTGGGGATTGTCTGTATTGTAATTGTTTGCTAGCACTTTTAGCTATGTTTAAAAACAGAATTATTGCATTTATTATATTTGAAATTTTTCTTTTCAGCATAACAATGGTCAAAAAACATTTGATTTTTGGAAGGATATAATTGCTGGTATACAACACAATTACAAAACGTCAGCTTTTAAGGGTGAGTAATGGGAAGAGAGGCTTCCTAACAGATGTTTTTTAAACACTGCGTGTCTAATGAATTAGTTGGAAGTTACCTATTTTGCCATGTTTCTAGATTTAATTTGATGTTAAATATTGTTATAGGGTTGATTCTACTTACATTTTAAGAAATCATTTTATTCATGTCTGTTTTATGGCCATAATTGCCATTTTTCCAAGTTGTGCTGTTAAACTGCCTTTTACAAAAATGTTTGCTAATAGGATTGTTCTGTGGCCTCCCCAAAATTGAAGCTCCAGCTTTGCTGTTTTCCTGGCTTGGGCACATGAAGTGTTGGTGACACTTACAATCATTAGTTATAGACAGGTGGGCAAAGTGCCTGCTGGAGGAAGTTTCATTGTTGTTGCTTAAGGAACAGGACTGGCTGACCCAGAATGGGGGCAGAGATAGCACCAGCCTTGAGCCTAGGGTTTTACCTTTTCATTCACAGCTTTGCTTGTGTTATACAAAGTTGCTTCTAAGGAATAAATAAATGCCTCTATAGTATGTTACCCCAGTGACTTGAACCAGATCATGCTGGTTCAACTAATGGGCTGATGGATACTCAAGAGCAGTACTTTTTAGCTTGGAAAAATATTGCCTTTTGATTGAAATAAAAATTACTTGACTTCTTTTTAATGTAATTCAAGCCATTCAAAATAATTTTAAATATTATGACTAAAAACATGTCAAGATAATAAATAGTAACTGTAGGATATTTGTTCAAAGTACATATTTCTCTGCCATCTGCTTCTTTCCTGCCCAGAAGAAAATCACTGCTTTGGGATGATTGTCTCACTTTTCTAGTTATTAGTTCTTGATACTGGCTTAGAGGTCACATGTGGCTTTGTGGGTCTCTTTTCACAGCCTACACTGAGTGCTTGGGTATGTGGGAATGCCCATCCCCAATGGAAGGACTTATCCATCAACTGTAAAAGCCACCCAATGCTTTATTTTTTCACTTTTTTATTATCTTTATAAAATAAAAAGCCTTAAAAGAATGGTTAAAAACAGCAGATTACTGCTTTCAAATAAATCCAGCATAAAAGTCTATTGATGTTATTTTATTGCATTGTAAATAAGAAGTAGCAAAACATTTCATGCTTTAATAAGTGAGGCACAGCTTTAAAGTTTTAAACAGCAATATAAAAACACAGTACAGAGCATAAATAAATAATATCTTTTCACTTCTAGTCAAATTTTGAAACCCTTGATGTTATTATAATTTCACTGAAGTGGGAGGCACAAGGTACATACGCTAATGTTCTATAAAACCACAAAATCACGTCACATAAGATTCAATGAGGAATTAAATCAAATTAATCACACTTGTGTTAAATAAATAAGACTAGGTCAGACACCTGATTCCAAGATGTGCCGAGTATATAGAAAGCTGCTCTGCAATCACAGAAAAGTTTAAAGATTCATTGACTAAAGAAAGCATCTTGCATTTTGGATTAATTTCAATATGATATTTTGGTTTTTTATGAGAGCTTTAAAAAGTATATATGCACCTATATATTTGAGTAGATTTTGATGAAAGGGACCATATAGGCCTCTGAACAATGCACCATCAGAAATATCTCGGGGTACACAGTGTCTTTTAAATTTGAATATTCAAGTATTCAAGTTCTATAAAGTTATATGATACTTCCTCCTGAATGTTTCCTAGAAATTCTCATATCGATTGTTAGAAACAGCCTTATTTTACAAGGAAATTCTAAGTTTATGAAATCAAATTCAATATAATTTAGAGCCTTATTTCTGTTTTTTTGTGGTGGCTTTATATTTTTTTAACTTAGCAAGACTTCTGTGGTGAAATTTTTAAATGTTAAAGGAGTTCACGGAACACTTTAAAGGGCCTTAAGATTGCTGACTCGCAATTTGAAGGGTCTTCACATGTTTACTCTTGCTGCTCGCTTTTCAAGGGGAGAGAAATTGTTGATCTGATAGCTCAAATCTGTATTTTGGAAAATAAAAATTACTCACATTCCTTTCAGCGTACCTCCATATGCATTTTGTGGGATGGGATGGAGTTGGGGAAATGCCTTTCCAAGCCAAAGATTTAGATTAGCTCAGTGGGAATGTGCTCACATGGGAGCCACTAAGAATCCTGAGAAAGAGGAGTAGACATACTCAGAGGAGTACAGGCCGTTCAACTCTGCATTGGGCAGCTGGAGCCACACCTGGTCATTTTCTGTGAGATCCATTATAGCACTTCCTGAAGCCTGATCTAGGTAGCCTTTGGAATATTCATCATAGGTGTACATTATGGGGGTGCCATTCTTATACAGGCCTACCCAAGCATGAGTCCCTTTCACATGCACGTGGTAGGAGAAATAGTATATTCCTGGTATCTTACAGGTAAAAATTCCAGTTCTTGGGTCATAATGCTGTTGCCTGTTATACAAAATCTTATCAAATGGGATGGGGGTACCTACTGCTGGGTAAGCTTTGGAGAGAGTAACAGTAAAAGCAGACACAGGCATTCCGGTTACTCCCTGGTTGGCACTAGTAAGAGGCATCCCAGAAAGACTGGGCCTTTGGCCTGCCTTTGTAAAGCCCTCGGGTGTGGCTGCTTGACCTGGTGGGCCTGGGGGCCCTGGGGGTCCTGGGAGGCCAGGCTCTCCAGTGTGGCCTCTTGGACCTGGAGGCCCTGGTGGCCCAGTAGGTCCATTGAGGCCCTTAGTTGCTATGCCAGCTGGGCCAGGTGGACCTGGATTTCCTGGATCCCCTTTAGCTCCAGGGAATCCTGGAATGCCCGGTGGCCCAATGGGGCCTCTGGTACCTGGTATTCCAGGGGTGCCTCTTGGGCCAGCCTCACCGTTGTATCCAGGCACTCCCTTAGCTCCTGCTGGGCCCATAGGGCCTGGGAGACCAGGAGGTCCTCCAACTCCAGGGTCACCTTTTGGGCCTGGTAACCCTGGGTTACCCTTAGGGCCATGGAGACCTGGTTCTCCTGGGTACCCTGGTTTTCCATCCAACCCAGGGGAGCCCCTTTCTCCCTTAGCTCCAGGGTATCCTGCAGGCCCAACTGGCCCTGTCTCGCCTTTAGGGCCTGGGAAACCGTGGTTGCCCGGGATGCCTTTTGGTCCTTGGGGTCCCATATTTCCAGGGGGTCCAGTCAGACCTGGCTCCCCAGGATGACCCGCTGGCCCTTGTTCCCCTTTGGCACCTGGAGCCCCTGGAAGGCCAGCAGGTCCTGTTTGTCCCTTCAGGCCTGGCAAGCCTGGTTTCCCAAAGCCAGGAGCCCCTGGGGGCCCAGCTATTCCTGGAGCCCCAGGGAGACCTTTTGCTCCTGGAATCCCTGGCTGGCCTGGGGCTCCAGGAGCTCCTGGCTTTCCAATGCATTCTGGTCCTCGTTCCCCAGGAGGACCTCGGGGACCTGGCAGGCCAGTTGGTCCCCTTTCTCCTGGAATACCCTGATCACCTTTGATACCTGGCTGTCCTGGAAACCCATTTTCACCTCTTTTTCCTACTCCAGGAGGACCAGGTGGTCCCATGGAACCCGGAGGGCCTGGAAGGCCCCTCTCACCTGGGCGACCAGGAGCGCCATACCCCGATTCCCCTTTCTGTCCATTCACACCAGGGACTCCTGGTGCACCCTTTTCTCCAGGATAGCCCCTGGGGCCCTGGGCTCCTGTGGGTCCCTGTTGTCCAGGTTTTCCTGACACAGAAAGTCCAGCTGGGCCAGGGATTCCAGGTGGTCCTGGTGGGCCCCGTGGTCCTGGTAAGCCAGCTGGTCCAATATCTCCTTTTGGTCCATGTGGTCCTCTCTCCCCTGGTTTTCCTGGGAGTCCTGGCAAACCTGGCTTCCCAATGGCCGATGGTCCCGGTGGTCCTGGCAACCCTGGCTCTCCCTGGAGTCCAGGACTTCCGTAGCCTGGTTTTCCTGGTGGTCCGGAAGGACCTGGGAGGCCTTGAGGTCCAGCAGGGCCTGGTGGACCAGGAATACCTTGCTCCTTTCTTACTGGTATACCTAAAAGACACACCCAATACACCCACCCAGAGAGGGGGGGATAGTTAGTAACATTAAAGATAATCATTGCTTCTCAAAATACGAATTGAATTGGGACAGGACATTGCAGTATCATTCAGTCCATTGTAGGCAGACCATTCTGAAATGGTATTAGATGATATGTTTTATATGGTTTTAAAAAACACTGCTAGAGAAGATGGTTTCAGAAAACCATGGCTATCATAATACTTTCGTCATATCTTAATGATCTGTGAAAATCAGCTGGGATTTGAAGAATTCCTCTAGAATAAGAGTGCAATGGAGGTAAATCTATCCCATTTGTTTTGGGAAAATTATCTACCTAGAAAGGAAAGGAAAGCTATTTAACAGAAAATGCAGAAAAGACAAGTGCAGAATAAGTGAGAAAATGTTTAAGAACTATAACAATTTTCCCTCACAAAGCTATCCTATCAGACATAAATGAGAAATGGAATTAATTCTAGTTTACATCTGCCATGGCCCTGCTGAAAATAATTTAGATTTAGGTTGATTTTTTTTTTTTCCTGAGAGTACATGTGTGTATGTGTTTCAAGTTTAAGTCAATATACTCTCCGTTATTGACTTAAACTTGAAACAAATAAATATTGTTTCATTTGATAGAGCTGTGAGTTCGTTTGACTTGATATACTGAACTTAAACACAAAAAACACATATTTAGTGCCTGTGATGTGAAAAAGACTATTGGGCCACAGGTGTGGAGAAAGCACAGAATGTATCCTGTAAGGGCTTCAATCACAAACAGAGTAAAACAAGTGTGCACATGCTAAGTGCTTTAAGAGGTGTCCAAGGGCTGCTTTGGTCATTCAAAGGTGGGACATACCAGGCATTGTGGGCATCGGAATATACTATTAGGGAAGTATTATCAGGTCAGTCTTTTGGCAATAATTATCATAAGCATCTACGTAAAAAAAAAATCATTATTTTTCAGAGAAATTATTTAATAGTTAGCAAAGATGATAATAAAATTACTTGATTTTCAAATCTACTTGCAGAATTTTAATATAAATCATTTTCTGCTTAATAAATTTCAGAAACAGTAGAATGCCTGCTTATATGATTTAGAGTCTTATGCTTTTGGAAAATGGGTCATAGTAATGTAGATTTAGTAGATGTCACAATAGTTGAATAGTTTAGCCAAAACCCTGAAAGTGACCTATAGCTATGACTTTTGAGCCACATCTGTTTTTGTTGTTGTTGTTAAAAAAAAAAAAATGATTAATATACTTAAACTGTAACTAAATCTGTAATGGTTTAAAGAATCACACGGAAGACTAAAGGGGAATTAATAATAAATGAATTGAAAATTGCCTTTGAAAACTTATTTTTATGGGTATAGTTCCCTTTAACTATTAGTTGTTGGTACACAAGTGTATTAAAATAAAAAATCTCTCATGTTTATTGACTGGCATACAACAAGTAGTCAGCTAACAGTAGTTGCTAGTATTATTCTCTTAGGTAAAGATGTTCCTGAGATTTGAAAAACATTTGGTGTATATAAAATATGGAGCAAATAGTTAAAATACATATGCTGAAATAAGGAAATAATTGTTTTAGATTTAGGTATCTTTATATTTTGTACTAATTAAAGTTATATTTCAATTTGTAAACATTTAAATAGGTAAAGCTTTCCCATGGATTTTCAAAAAGTGACTTTAGGAAAAAGACTATGAGAAAAATTCGTTTTTTAAAAAGATGTCCATATATTAACACATATCTTATTGACTTTAGTGTACATATATGATGTATCTTTATGTATGAATGGATCTAGATACATTGCAAATAGAATAGATAAATAAGTCATTTCTTAATGGTTTGGAATAACATAGCATATTTTTAAAAGTGCAAACCATGTTTGATTGAGGTTTGCTTCAGAATCTGATTATAAGGATCATGTTCATACTAAAACTAATTGTCTTAGTATGCCTGGAAATCTGTTTTACTCTTAAAGAGGAAAAACAAGTCAATGAAAACAACTACACTGGGCACCATTTGAGGCTAGCACTCCAATGTCAGGGTGATCTTTGTGGCTTAGAATGTCGTACTAATGGGTCCTTAACCTCTCAGTTTAAGAATTTAACTTCTGTTTGAATCCTTGAGGGACAGCCCCTGTTTGTAGCTTGTCATCTGAAAAAAATTTCATTCATTCAAAATTAAGGACACACCATCCTCAAGGAAAAATGAGTACCGACTATTAAGTTTTCTAAATGGCACAAACTGAAATAGTGGTTGGATGTGTCAGACTGTGGCACCTGTGTCTGCTCACTAGCTGTGGAATCCTCTGCAGCATAGTTTAGTGCGTTTTGGCTGAATTCTCTTTCACTCTGTGTTGAGCAGATATGCCTAGGAATTACATAGGAACTCTTCGAATTTCTGTTATCATCTCAATGTTTTGCTTGTATTACTTGTGAGCTTTTGTGTTTGTTACAATGTATTCATGCCTACCAGTAGATGATAATGTATTTGAATTTCTGCCTTGCATTATCAAAAAGAGACCAAGGTTAATAGTTAAAATATAGCTTCATTTGTTAACAAGATATTTTCATTTGTTCTATAAAAATAGCCAAGACGATACAGTATATTAAGGGGGGAAGATAGAAATATTTTTAAACTTATAAATGTGGTACATTTATTTTTAATTCAAGACTGTTGATTATGATCTTGGTAAGGTATAAAAAAGTCTGAATTTATGGTCATAGAGATTATCGAATCCAGTGCTGCTTATTATAACATTACAAATTGCATTTGTTGCCTTCAAGTAAAGTAGCAAGTTTCTTTGTCTTTTATTTTTTTCTCAGTTTTATCTTTATTACATAGTGAGACATTCAAGAGTATCTGTTGTACATATGCCTTTGTTTTTAAATATTAAGCTACCTTTTGTGAAATATTTTAAATTTCATCTTTCTTCTTAAAATGACTATCTTATAGGTTTCCTGTGCTCGAAATGATTTTTCTCAAAAGCGTAGTATTTAAAGTTTATGACAAATATCCTTAGCTTCATTTACATGATAAAATATATAGCTAAAATGAAAAATATTATGGAAAGGAAATTTGAAGCCTATAATCAGTTTATATTATTTAGTAGATGTTTTATAGGCAGTTTGTGTCAGATGATACTAAATGGAATTAGTAAGTATTAGGCCTAGACGTTGCCCTCCGTTGAGAATCTCTTAGTACTTCACGTATATGAGGTATTATCTCATTACCCTTCATGGTAACTGAGAAAGTTGGGCAGATGAGGATTAGGTTCAAGGAGAAAGTTAAAACTTACCTAAGGCTACATCAGTAGAGGAGGAGTAGTAGAAGTAGAATTACAAGTGATAGAAGTAGTAGTATCAGTAGTACTAGTAATAGCAATACTTAAAAGTACTTTACAGGTGTTAATTCATTTAATCTTCAGTACAGCCCCTTGATATAGCTGATCTTTATTTTATAAATAGAGAAACTAAGGCACAGAGAGAATAAATAACTTCCCCAGAGGTCACACACATAACTGGTATGTGGCAGTTAAGTCTGTGCATTTTACCCCTAAATGATATTAAAAATGTGTAAGTAATTATGAGAATTGCTTCATCTTCCTATTAAATTTATTTAGAGGGGCATCAGGTTTTATTTGATAAGACTCAGTTTTGTGTGCATTTATGGGCTAGTTAAATGGGTTTTAAAAGTAAATGTTTAAGTGTTTAGTTATATAAACCTGCTCCTTTCTTTGTACAATTGGCAGTTATTTTTAATTTAAAATTTGTAAGCTTGATTAATTTTGATTGGATTATGTGTAGTTAGTGTAAAAACATCATGTAAAGAAAAAGATCTCTACACATAAAAATTCTTAATATTCTTCAGGTATATCTTTTTACTATCAGGTATATACTTTCTGCTGTACTTATCGTGCAAGGGATATTAATGTTCTTGACTAGACCTACTTTTTTCACAAATCACTTTGTTGTAACAATTTGAGCTAATTGAGGAGTCTGAAAATAATTTATGATGTTAAAAGCATTTTGTTAAAGAGATCATTAAGATTATAGAAAGCATCCACCAACAGGTTAATAGAGCAAAATATACAATTCAGTTTACCTTTACTGTTTATGGTGTGGGGAACGAAGAACTGTGCCTTGATGTTGGGTAGTGGTCCTTTCATGCCTGTAAATGTAGTAAACGACTGAACCAAGTTCAAGGACATTAGCAGCAGAAAGGCTATTTGTGGCAGCATATTCTCTGATGGATTCTGAAAAAAAGAAAAGAATAATTGTATACAGCTTTGTTATGGACCTGTTTTATTATTCTAATTTTACACAGATGAATTCTTTATACAGTTATCTACTTTTTTACCTCATCCTATGTATTTTGAATATATTCCATAAATTAATGAGAGATAATTTTTTTATTTATGTGAATATATGTCTTAGTTGTTTTTGGAAGTCACATTCAAGTAATCAAGTAAAAATAAAGTGATTTACAAAAAGAGAAACACATTATTATTGGATGTCTCTATTAAATAATTCAGGATCTTTGACATAGCCTGAAATATCCAATAGTTTCAAAATACACTAAAATTCAGATTAGGGCAAGTTTGTACAATATGTTTTTATTAGGACTATCTTATATAGACTGATACAAATAAAACTTTCTGAGTGTATTTTAGTAGAAAGCCATTTTTTAAAATCACAAAGCAAACCCAATAGTTAATTCATTGAAGCTTGTTTCCAAGCAAGCTAACATGGAAGTCCACCAGCGAGCATCAATTCATAGACTTGCCTGGGTGCTGGGAGTTCCTGGAGATGGTGTCTTGGCAGCTTTCTGAGGCTTCCACTGGTCAGGTGGGCAGTGCAGAAAGTGCCTTTCCAGAGCTGCCCTGTGGTATTTATACTGTTTGTCCTTTGCTGCAAGAGGTTACCCTGAGTTTAAGCTCCTCCCCTTAGAGGTGACAAGCACTAATTATGGTGGAAAGTTCTATTGGGCAGGCACACAAGATCAGGTTGGGTTCTCTTTTTCCTTGTTTTCTTATTGAAAAATAAACTCTTTGTCTTAAATATACATTAATAGTTTTAACCATGCACCATATTTTTCTGTGATTTTATTTTAAATATTATTACTCCAGTGTTTAGGCTGGTTCATGATGGGATGATCATACCCAATTTTTATTTTTGAAAAACACATTCTTATGTTTACTTGGTTGAAAATATGTGGTAGTACATAAAAGTAGGTGAAGAAGTCTCTTGGGGCGGGGGGTTTAGATTTAAACCATCATCTAAATTCTTCAGTTATTATGCAAAGCCATCAATATGTCCATTAAATTCTAAATTTTTATGAAAATAACTTATCCCAATTCTTAATTATTTTTAGTCTTGAGAGAAAGAAACAAAATGGTGAAAATTTGTTTGCATTTCAGGATTTTAGTGTAAGCCCTCAGAAATTAATAAGAGAAACTTAAAGTATGATAGCATATTAAATATTTAAAATTTTTGCACATTAAATATTTTAAATTTTTCAGACAGAGGCAGGCCACCTGTGAATATGATAGTACAGTCAGCAGTATAATTACCCTGAAGGATTTAGACTCTTTATTCACAACACTATATACTGTTCTGAGTAAATGGCTACAGATTTTCTTGCTTAAATTTTGATTCTACTTTAGAGTTGTAGTAGAGTTTACAACAGCCCCTTAACTTGATAATCTCATATTATTTTTTTTACATAAGGTTGCTATGTAAATTTCAGAAGAAAAAAAATTTTTCAAACTGCTTTCAGCTTTTTAAAGTATCATTGGCTTACCTTGCAATTTCCTTTAGGGATCTTGAATTATCCCAATTAGAAATATTTTTCCCCAAAGATAGAAGTAAATGTTAGTGTTAATTTCGGTAGTTAGGTTCTCTTTAACAATATTGGGAGACTTTTAAAGTTTTCAAGATCCTAAAAAATCTAATAAAGGCAGGAAGTTGAGAGCTCAAATTTTGTATCTAATTTCCTCATTTCAAATCTAAATCAAATTGACTGTACAGGTGAACTGGGTGAGAATAAGAATTCCATTCGCAAGCATAGATACATCATTTTTGTATCTGTACATAATTAAAGTAGTATAGATTCAGTATTGACCAGTAATTGAAATAATTGAGTATTTGGTGAATGAAATAAAGGTTTGTCCTCTTTCTTTTCCCTTCCCCCTCTGTGTAGACAATTTTCTGCGTGTATATAACAAGCCTTATGTATCCCCTTGTAGAAACGTAAGTGGATAACTCATCTCACCTGCTCTTTTTCTCCTTCCACTTTTAAGTCTTTTGTTGATTCCCATATTAAAAAAAAAAAATCTACATTGTCATATATGTCTCTGTATAATACTCACAGATGAACATGAAAAATATGGCTTTTATATCAGTTCAAATTAACAGGAGAATTGGTAAGTTTGTACTGCAATCATTCTTTCATCATTTGGAAATTATATGTTGAATAGCTTTTATAATTATAATATGTACTCTGTATCTGTAAGAGACCACAAAAGATAAGTGAGAGAAAACAGCTGGCTTCTATTTGCTTATGGTTCATTTGAACAAGATTTTGAAAAAGTAGGTGAGGTGACATTATGGATGCTCTTGAATACTAGCTGAAGAATTTGTTTTGAAAGGAATTATTAGAAACACATATTTTAGTATTTACATACGTTTATAATTGAAACTGATACCCTGTTGGTTATTGTTCATGAGAACATTCAGAAGATTAATTCTAAGCTCTTTGTACCTAACACCAATGCACCTTTGTAGAACATTTTGTTCATCTGTGTCTACTCCAATAATTTTCAGAGCTTTTTCTGTTTTTTCATCAACACAATGAAGAGTTTGGACAAGGTGGTTTCTAAACTCCTCCCAGCTTTAAAATTAGATTATTCTCCTGCTTGAGGTATTCTGCTGCTCCCTGTGGTCGGATGGTAAACTTGGCTTCATTTAGTACTTATTAGAACCGAAAAACAAAAATCCATACCAGGTGGTTGCATGCCTTCTTTTTGGGATATGTAAATATATGTGAGTATTTGTCATTCTGTATTCCCCTTTAGCTTTGGAAAATGTGGTGTCTGTATTGGATAAACCTTGGATGCTCAACCCTTTTTGCAAATAGTGTACTTATTTCAGCACAAGGAATCTGACTACTGTTTGCTTTGTTAGTCACATAAGAAGCACTGTCTTGTCCAAGACAGATTGTAGAATCAGAATATTTGCTAGCCACACCCCACCCAATTTATGTATTTAAAACTTTTTATTCTGGGTGTTTACTTGTAGCTGTTTGAAGTGACTAGTCTGTGGCTTTATGAAGGAAATCCATTCCACTTAAAACAGAAAGCCATGCTCTTTAAACCCAGTAACCTGAGTGATTTTTTTTAATATCAAATATTAATGATGTTTTTTGCAAATCTAGCAATTAGCTGCTATTAAGCTTGCCTATTCATTTACATATCCCTGGGTCATCATTAATTCACCAAAAATATTTCTTGAGTACCTTTTAAGTATCAGGCATTGAGATAAATACTAGGTGAATAATGCATATTCCTTACCGTTAAGATATTTACACGGTGGTTCTCAGCCTCTTTTCCCCACTCCTGCAGTACTGAGAGATATGATACAATTCCTTCAATCTTTGAGGTTCATTAAGATAGTGGTAGTTCAGAGACTAAATTTTGAAAAAGCTCCTCAGCTGATCATGATGGAATATTTGAAATCCACCTATCCTTAGACCATATTTACTCTCAGTATTGACACAACAAAATTCTTATACATTTTAATGCACATTGTGTGCTTCAGTATAACAATATTGAACTGCTTTTAAAATGCATTTGACTTGCAGTGTTGATAAATTTATCAGAATTTTAAAAAAGCATTTCATATGACAATGAAGGGCACTACCAGCTTTTAGAATGTGCTAATTTTATTTTATAGCACTTTACGATCTAGTTTTTCAATTGAAAAGTACACATGTGGGTCGTGTTATGAGCTATGGTTCTTTAGATATTTCTTGTCATGGGGGGGAAGAGGAAAATAGCAATTTAACTTTGTTTTGCTTAAAAGGCATTATAAATACTAAGCCATCTTCTTCAAAGTGAGGGCCATTTGTATAAAAGTTATCTGTCTGAGACCTAATACAGCACTTGAGTTTTCTGTCAGTCATTTTTTCAGTAACATTCCATGATTATTACTCTAGTTAGATCTGATTCAACTTTGTCTTCAGATTGGACTTGTATTTATTGTCTTGTCTATGTCAAGTGTTTTGCTTTTCTCATTTGATCCACAAGAACCTTGTGCGATAGATATCATCACTCTTATTTTGTATGTAAGGAAACAAGCTCAAGAGGTTAAGGAATTGCACAGGTTCGTAAAGCCAGTAGGTGGCACAGCAGAGAGTAGAATGCAGCGAACTTTGGACACCAGATTCAAAGGCTACATTGGCATTTTCCACAAGAGCATGCTCTCAGGTATTTTTAAGTATTCTTCTTTTGTTTAATTTCCTCTGATTGTTACCTAAAGCCATCAGCTTATGCTCATGTGCCATCCCTTATAAACTGTAGCTGAAATGCTGATGTAGCAGTTATATATCACTTAGTTAATATATTTTCTCAAGGTAAGAGCAACTCCTTTGCTCTTCTGGCCACATCAGACCTATCCCCCTTTTCAGCTTTACAGTGCTGCTTTCCACAGTTTTCAAGAACAAAGGCTGTTTTTTTCAATACTTAAAATTAGGAAAACTTTGATACATATATAGGATAATAATTTTTTAGACTAAAGGCAAAGAATGTTAATACAATAAACACGTGTGTATCTGCTACGCAGCTAAAGAAACCTACATTACCACTATTTTTGAAGTCCTTGTGATACTTCCCTGACTGCATTCCCCTGACTTATGAGTCTGTTACTGTTATTCCTTCTGTCTTTGTGGAAAGCATACCTACCACTCCATCTCCCACCCCTAAAAACACACATATATTAATACATATCCCACAACTTTTTTTTTGCATGTTTTTAAGCTCTATATTTAAAAGGAATTAACTGTATGTGTGTGCATCTGTAACATGCTTTTTTGACACGTTATGTTTTTGAGATTTATCCATACCGATGTCTGTGGTGGTGGTTTATTCATTTTTCACTGCTCTGTAGTTTCCCATGGTACAAATTTATCAGACTTTATCTGCTGATGGATATTTAGCTTATTTCTATTTGCTGTTAAAAATAATGTTGCTGTGAACATTTTTGTATACATATGCCTGGCTACATGCAAAAGAATCTTTCTAGGGAGTATACCTAAAAGTGGAATATTGAGTATACATATTTTTCTGCTTTAGTGGCTAATTCCAAATTGTTTGCTAAACTTATTTTATGTTTTTACCAGCGGGATATAAGGGCATAACCACTTGGTGTTATCTAAATTTCAAGGTTTGCCAATCAGTAGTTGTAAAAAGGTATCTCATTAGATTTTTGTTTGTATTCCTGATTCTAATGAAGATGAACATATTTTCATGTTTATTGGTCATTTGAGTTGACTCTTCTCTCAAATGCCTGCTTGTACCTTTGCCTATTTTTTTAGCTGGTTTTCTTTTTTTTGTTGTTGATTTTTTAGCATTCCTTACATATCTTGGACATTGATTTTCCTTAGTTATATGTGTTGCAGATATTTTCTTTCAGTTTTTGACTTGTCTTTCACTCTCTTTATAGCATCTTATGGGTTATCTGCAGCTATCATCTAGCCAAGAAAGATTCTGTTTTTTAAAATAACTCATTGAGACCCAATAAATTATTCATTATTCTTTTTCCAACTTTCCAGTGGAGCTCCATATCATTGTATATTCTAAAAAA